GACGGTCCATGTCCAGAGCGGACGGTCTGGACTCGTCTTCTTCCCCCGAAACCCTGCGAACCCTAGAACAGACGGTCCATGCCTGGAACGTTCGGTCTAGGCGCACCAGGAACTTCGGGTTTCCAATTTTTGCACCAAACTCAACAAGTTATACATCAAAATGATCCCTAGAACATTAGGAATCCAAATCTAACACCAATTTCATGCAATTTTCACTCAAAGCAATCAAATCTCCATTTTCAATTTGATTATCATTTTCGGGCATAATCCGAAACACTCACCTGTGTCATTTCTGAGCTCTGGGGTTTGTTGCTGGGGTTTCCTAGTGTTGATTACTGAATTTTCCCGTCGATTTCCATGCAAAATAAGCTCCGATTTGAGAGTTCTCGGTCTGAGTTCGCAAGAACACGAGGGAGAGGGTGAGAGCGAGTTGTAGGCTGAGTGTGAGCAGAGTGAGAGAGTGAAGCTCGTGTAGAGGAGGTTGGGTTGTTCCTGGATCAAGCAGGAGGTGTCAAACGCCGATGAAACCTTGGAATTCTGGCGGTGACTCAGCATGGAGAAGAGGCGACGCGATTTTTCTCAGTCTCATGTCGTCAGGCCGGACGGTCCGGCTAGGCAGACCGGACGGTCTGCGTCTCCCAGACCGGACGGTCTGCTTCCCAGACCGGACGGTCTGACCAATCTTTGCCCGTTTTTCTCGCTCGTTTCGGTCCAATCCTTCGGGTCAACTTGGTTAGGTCTGATTCTATGTTCTTGAGCATTTCTCCGGCACCTAAACGATCCTCTAGGATTTGGTGCGGAGAAGAGAAACTCTCGGGGCATTATATTCCGTTGGAATAGTCGATCTTCTTTTCCTTGCCTCTTCTTCGTTCGGCTCGGTTGTTTCACGTTAAACCAATTCGCCCGAGCGGCTTCATGTCGTGGTCTATTCCTCGTTAATCCTGTTAACGAAAATTAAGGGCTTATCGCCTAATCATCTCATTTCCATTGATCAAGCGTCGTCAATTTCGGTTTATATCTCTCTAATCCTTTTACCGAAATTCGGGGTGTTACATCAGGTATTTATATGACAATTTTATAGTTCGGGTATTTATTTGAGATTTTTGTAAAAGTTAGGGTATTTTTATATGATTACCCCTTTTTTGTATCTCATTATAGGATTTCACTATTTTACAATTTTAGGGAGTTTTGTTCTATAGTATTCCATCATGAAAACGATTTCACTATTCCATCATTTTTTGTAATGATATGCTCGAGTATCTAATTTTTTGGGTATTCATTTATGAACAGAATTTAGTTTGGAAGAATTGTGATTTCTTTTGTAATGAAAGAAGGAATCAAATATGAAATAATTAATTTATCCAGAATCAAGAACAAGAGTTCAACAAAGAAGGCAATCACTTCATAGGTAAGAGATTATATAGTAGAGTGATTAGCGGACAACATATTTTTTTATTCATTTTTAATCGATTAACAAGAGCTCGACGAATCATAGTGTTATTTCTACGGGGTGAAATATTCTCCAAAATTTTTTTTGGGTGACTAAATATAGAAAACATGTGGTTCTATCCATCTATACAATCTCACACATATAAAAACATAGTTACAATAGTGTGACACATATTTATTTATTTTTTAATAAAAATTAACCCTTTTTCTTAACCAAAAAAAATCCTTTTGATATTTCAGTAGACAAATCCATAGATATTTTGGAGAAATTAATGCAAAAGGGTGTTTTTTTATCAATTCAAATATTTGGTATCTAGATGGGTTGTGAATTTAAAAGACAAATTATGTTATAAGTTATAATTAATCTCTGAATATTTGACAAATTATCATATATATTGACTAACTCGACTATATCCATTATAAAATATATATTTTTTGTAAATAATTTTCTTTATCAAAATAATTCTCATGTTTCAAAACTATACATATAAATAATATCGAATATATGATTTTGTCACTAATATGATTTTAAGTTAGTATTGAATTCATCAATTAAAACCAATTATAAGCATATAAGTAGACCACCGTTGCAACATATAAGGAGAAAAAAAAACTAATATAGAGATAATTATCCTATCACGAAAAACATTGAACCTTCATTGGTCGTTTTTTGAGAAATATAAAATACAAAGATGAACAAGAGATAAATAATTATAGAATCGGGTCTTGAAATGCATATTCTAAATGAAAGATCGGTCGGATCGAGTCGTATGATACGATGATAGATCTAATACTGTAAAAAAAAAATTAAGTCAACTATTGATCAAAGAGCTTAGGACATATCGTGAAAGATCAAATAAAGCAAACTAAGATGATAAGAGAAAAATAATAAGGATACATAATAAAATACAAGTCGAATTAAATAAAAATATCCAACTAAAATAGGACAACAACTTAGATTTATTTAAATTAGAAATAGATTGATTGGGATAAAATATATATAACACATAAATATGATATAATATTAATTTTAAATTTTAGGATATATAAAAGTGATCAAATTTTAGTTTATAAAAAATACAATGACTTAAAATGTAATAAAACAAATCAAATAATTAGTGTTGTATCCCATGAATTTGGTTGAATTAAATAGATATCTATAAATTTTAAATATTAATTAGATCATATACATTTAGTATTATATCAATATTTTATTATGAAATATTTATTAAATTAAATATATTATTATTCGACTGTTAAAACTAACAAAATTTTATATTATTGTTTAAAATTATATTTTCTAAACTTTCAATAGTCACATTTTTTACGTACCATTCGATTTGTCAAAAGATAACTCTTTCATCGAATTATAAAATTTATCAAAACATTATTATTATGATATTGCATATTTCAATCAATAATTTTATATTATAATATAAAAAATCTTGTAATCTAGATATTTTTTTAAAAAAAAATATCATTTTGGTTTAATTAAACTAGTATATATATTTACTCCGCGTGCGCGCGGGATAATCTAGTTACGAGAAATTACAAAGGTATCAATTTAACAAATCCATTTTTCCTTTATAATACAAAAAAAAAATGGTAGGAGAAGTGACCAACGCGTGAATGGCGACGCCGGACATCTTGTTGACAGCAGAGTTGGTTTGCTCGATCGGAAAGAGAAACTTGCTTCAAAAGATTCAAAGGACTCTCTCAGGTCTCAAGGAGTCAGGACAAGAACGGTTTCTTGTAGATGTAGTGAGGTCATGGCCGGAGAACCAGTCGGAGTGACGAAGCTTCAGGCCGGCCTCGTTCGGTTTTGGAAACGCGAAATGGGCTTTTAGAGGCAGGCCCAGTTCAACAAGGCCCATTTATGACGTTTTAAACGCGCCGAGGCCACTAGAAAAAAGAAAATAGGTTTTCACTCCAACGAGACGAAGACGCAAAGATGATGCTGAAGCAAGCTCGCTCTTTGCTCTCCAGGTTACCCATTTTGAACTCGGTTTTTTTTTTTTGCCTTTCTTCCAAGTAATTCAGAGCCTTGGAGAAGATCTCCCCTGAAGCAGTCAGAATTTTTAAAGCAAGTTCCTTTTATCCTCTTTTGGTACGACATTTTGTGAAACAGGAAATTTTGCAACCCGAGTAATTCACTCGTCGGCGAGGGCTCCTCGTTTCGTAGTTTCGCGTCCTGGGCAGATTCATCTTCGACTCGACGTGGTTTCTCATTGGGTAACCTATTTTTTTCTTTTTCCTTTTCCTTTTTGCGCGAGATCTGTAAAATGTACTTCAGCTCAAGGTTTTCCCTTTTGTTTTTTCTTTTATTTTGTTTGTGAATGTGTGTTATTGAACAAGGTTTTACCTTGTTTAAAATGATGCAGGGAAGTCTACTGGTCGGGTATTTGCCCCCTATGCTGTTTTCAAGGGGAAAGCTGCACTATCTGTTGAACCTGTTCTCCCCAGTTTTATCAAAGTCGATGTATGTGGACCTTCCTTCATTTCATTGCTGCTGCTTGTTTTCACCTTTCATTATCCATTGTTCTCTTTTAGACTTGTTTCGAGCTTCGTTAATCTTCTCGTCTGTGCATAAAATTTCAGTCCGGAGATTTTAGGATAGAGCGCCGTGGATCCTTGATGTTGACTTTTATGCCTGCCATTGGTGAACGCAAGTATGATTGGGGAAAGAGGCAGGTATTTCTTTTTTCCCCCTTCTCCCTTCATGTCTGAATCCTAGTAAATTTTTTATACATTTCTGAGGTGGTTATTACTTGGATATTATTATTTGCTGTTGTCTTGCAGAGGTTTGCTTTGTCCGCCACAGAAGTTGGATCCTTGATAAGCATGGGACCGAGTAATAGTTCTGAATTTTTCCATGACCCTTCCATGAAATCAAGGTTCTAAACTTGAAGATGCAGTTTGACTCAATCTTGCACTATCTCGAGTCTCCACTTGGTCCTTGCTTTGACTGACATTTTGATAATCATGGGGAGCATGAAAGAAAAGCATAGGACTTTCTGATATCTCGTTTCTCATTTTCTGACATGTTCATATCTTTTATCCCAGTGGTGCTGGTCAAGTGAAGAAATCCTTATCAGTTAAGCCTCTGGCAGATGGTAGCGGCTACTTCATCTCGTTGAGTAAGGCTCCAGTCAACTTTGTTTTTTCGTGGTGCTTGAACTCTACTGCACAGATCACATAGTAATAGGGACTATGTTTGACACCCATGGTGGAACATTTAAAGCGCATTGTATTTTGTGGGCACAGAAGTTTTGATCCCTTAGTAGCACATAACTTGAGGCCTTGTTTTGGTGGCCTAGAAATTTTTGGGCCATTTACACTGGGAAGAACTATTGTTCAATCACAAGCACTTGTCTCTTGCTATCTATTTTCAGGTGTTAACAATAGCATCCTGAAAACCATGGAAAGATTCACTGTTCCCGTGACAACAGCTGAATTTGCAGTGATGAAGACGGCTTGTAGTGTAAGTTCTAGTCTAATATCCACATTCTCTCCCTTCCACCCGTGGGTACTGACATACTGAGAATCATAAGCATTGACTGGGAAATGGGAGAGCATTTTTGTGTGAGTTATAGTACGGAACAAGTGTAAATTCTACAAGGATCCGTAGCTGAGTCTAATGAATCTGATGATTTGGCATGATGGCTTGTTATCATTCTGACAAGATCTTGTTATTATACAGTTTGCATTGCCCCACATCATGGGCTGGGATCGGTTAACAAGTCAAGTACGTGTGGGAACAGAGGGGAATAATTCAAAGGTGGATCCGCAGCTGTTAGAGATAGAGTGGGATAAATGAATCGATGCAATGACAAATGGAATGTATTACCTGCAAAGGAGACATGTGTTTCCGTTTTTGGAAACTCAGGATGCTGTGTTTTTGGTAACTACCATGTCCTCTGATCGTTCTGTTTGCCCTTAATCATGAACACGTTTTTAAGTGATAACACCTGACATGTTCAAGCATATTTTTGTAACTAGCCTGTCCTTTGAGCCCTTTGTAATGAACGCATGTTATTTTAGCAATAATGCCAATCGAAACATAAAGACAGTAACTTAGTGAAGATGAGAAGAAAAAAAACTAGTGAAGTAGAGACATCTGTTGGACGTTGACGGGATAAGAGTCCGAGGGAGGACCGTAGAAAGCGCGTCTAGCAAGAATGGAGTTGACGGTCTGAGTTGGATGAAATGCGTCCCAAAACACATACTGAGTCCTGTTTGGGCACGGATATTGCAACGGCATGCATGTTATCTGCCCTTGGTTCCTCCCGATTCCACAGCAAGCCCTGTCTATCACGCTAAATCCTGCAATTTGAACAATTCGGTCAAGAAAACTCCTTAACAAACAAATTCTAGGATGCTCCTGGATTACCATAAGCAGTTGGGTTGTTCAGGATGTCACCAACAGCGCCGTATGTATTGCCATAAGCAAAAATGGCTCCTTGTGACCGTTGGTTCAGCTGATCCACGAGTGATCTCAAGCCTTCATTGAATGTACCAAGCATTTGATTCACACTGTCAAGGCATCTCCCCAACGGTGCACGGCCGCTGGCTCTTTGGTTTGGAATGCAGCCCAAAGGGCCGATACCTGCTATGAATAATTTCCTCAGCCCTAGGCTGTTCAGGGCCTGAAGTTGTGAAACACAGTCAGTTTTTTTAGCGTGGTTATCAGAAATTAAGATGCTAATGCAGACAGATATTGTATTTACGAGAAGCTGGCGAGCATAGCGGTTGAGAAGAAGGTTGGCGAAAGCAGGAGGGGTGTAAGTGAAGCTGGAAGAATAAAGATCAGGCATGAGGTAGTTGTTGATATAATCATTGCTTCCAAATACGAGAACTACAATCGCCTTTGCTAAATAGTCTGTGAAGTTTGCGGGACTCAACATCCCCCTCAACTGATTCAGTGTGGTCTCAAGGTTTAGGACTTGCTGGGACAGGCTGTACCGTGCTCCCTGAAATACGATATGAATACAAACATCCCAATACCAATATACAAAAGCAGCATTGAAAAGTGTGACAAAAAAGAGAAACTACGTAGTGTTGGCCGGTCTCCTCGAGAATGCCAGCAGCTGCAGAAGCATAGTTGACTCCCCCAAGAATTCTGATGCCGGATGTGTTGGGGTCTGCAAAGGCCGGAGGAGACGAGACTCCCAACAAGTCACCTGACAATAGTTTTATATATATATATTTTAAATTTTTATTTCAGGAAGAGAAGAAATGAAACCCAACTGACTAATCTTACCGAGCAAATCAACAAAGGTCTTGCCATTACAAAATCTACCAGTAGGGCGGAAGTTGAAGTCAATACCATAGGGGAAGTAATTGGCTCGAGCTATGGAGGCCAGATAGTTGTTATTACCAACGTCAACCAATGAGTCCCCGAGCACAAACAAGGCCGACACTCTGCCTTGTCCAGCAACCCACTCTGAATGGCCTAGTACCACACCTGCAGTCACCACTACCGCCAACCCCCATCCTTCCCATTCTTTCTTCATCTTACTTTCTATTTCACCTTCATGGGGTTCGGAAAAAGGGTATATAAAAGGGCATTAAGCAAGCGTGCTGCATGTGACTTTCCATATTTTATGCTTCGCTTTTTAACGGCCCTCACTCGTTTCAACAATATTGCATCATGCCTGAAATTTCGCAACGAATTTTTGCTTGCTTACGGACATCGTGATGATTTCCAGTTTAACAAACAAAAACAAATTTGTTTCGCTTCCCAAATCCTTTCATTTTTCCATGGGAGTTCCACAAAACCCCAAAAAGAAATTAAGGAGATATATATGTCTCATTCGGTCATTTCCTGGTCTTATCAAGTACTTGGATGTATCTCTTGGGAACTCCGTACTGTTCCATCAGATGCCTGCCGACATCATCGATCACGCCCCCTTGAATCAGAACCTCACGCCCCTTCTTGCCTGAGAAACATAAAACGAATACCAACTTGTCAAATCGAACAATACACCGGCAGCAACAAGATCCAAACCAACACACACCTGGAAGCTCTCCCACCGACGTACTGCAAGCGAACTTCTTCTGCAGCTCTGATGCTAATGACTCTGCATCCATCATGAACGTCTCCACTCCTGACACCTTCGTCACCTTCTTGTTACCTTGCCTTCGTTCTGACAATATCTGAATTGGCTTGACGGCACCTTTACGCACCATGGATTCACCCCCTCGTGTCACAACATTATGTGGTTGCATTCTCCCTATAAACGTTGACCCCACCTCCTTTTTATGGATCTCTGTTGGATATGCTGTTCCTTTTTTAATAGCTCCTTTGAACAATGCATCACACAATATCGCATCCAGAACCACCATCGACTTATCTGTGGCCTTAACCAGGTCTTCCTTTTCAATGTATCTGAAGACAACGTCAGAAGCTTCTGAAGCCGTATAAAGTTTCCCTGTATTAGCCCCAACCGATTCAAATATAGGATTGACCTGCGTACTGGGCTTATAGATCTCAACAACTTCAAGCACTTTCTCTGACCAAGCTTCAGCTATGGTATGGTCTCCAGAAGAATCAGATTTTTCCACTTTCCTTTTCTCCGGTTTGAAGGATATGTAATCTGGATGACCACGGTTTACAGAAAACAATACAACCTCCTTCTTGTGCTTGTCTTCTTTCACAGAAATCTGTGTACGAGGAACAGCAGGAGAATATATGTATTTATTAGTTACGTGACCACTCAACAGATCCCCTGAATAATGACAAATATGGCTCCTACACCCAACCCTATGTGTGCCAAGACAAAAATGTGAAGAAGAAGAGCTACAACTACATGCCATTAATAGTAATCCAAAATAGCCACATCCACTGAGAGCCTGTGTTTGCTTTTCAACCATCTTTCTCACACTCGTTTCATAACATCAAGCATATATACCATAAAATAAGAGCAAAAAGAACTGAAACACACCAGTCCTGCTGATGCTTTAGCTTGCAGCCACTTCGATAGTTTTTTATATGACGACTTTTTAATGTCAAGTACGAGCCCGGAAGGTCTGCAAGGTAATACATGATTTGACCTGCATGGCACAGAGAAAACAAACATAAGCCAACCTGGGAAGAAGGAAAAAAGGAAATAAGAAAGGCATCCACTCTGTCGACAAATCCACAGTCAGACAAGTCAAGACCATAATCAAACAAGCCATGCAAGTTCGCAGCCAACCAGACTAAGCGGGAACACTAAAATGAAGCAGCAAAACGGAGAGTGCCAGGAGAGAGTTGATAAGTAAGCAAGCCCAAGTATTCAAACAAAGGTCTTACCATAGAGTGCTTCCTGGCATGGGAAGGTCCTTATCTTTTATGGTTGTGTACAAAGCTTGCAAAAGGCATTTGTCTAGAAGGGAATCTACTACGACAGCAGAAGGAGAAGTTAGATTCTCAGTATTAGGTTCATTGGCAGAAATGTCATCCGCTAACTTGAGTTGATCCATGTTCCCAATCATCTGTTCACCGGTCTCATTGTTAGCATCAGCAACTGATGTTGAAGCTGTTTCCAAGGAAGACATAGCATTATTTGCATCGATAGATTCATCTTCTTCATTGCCAGTGCTGGTCTGGGGAGCAGCTGAAGCATCCAAAACATCTGTACCAGTATCAGAAACACCAGAAGACGACAGGAGAGATGGGTCCCCCATGACGACATCTTCCAAAAAGCCAGCATTCGGTACATAATGTCTCTCAGTTGACTCCCTAAGAAACATCCGTGAAGGGCGTAAGTGGCAAAGCTGGTAGGAAGAATAAAAGACAAACTGAACATACCAGAGGAAGTCATGGTAATAGTGAGTTATGCGTAAAGCCTTCCCACGTAAACCCGCTTTCAGAGCTTCGACACTACTCATTGTGGTACATCCCACCTATACAGTCATCAATAAATCATCATGTGCCAGTGCCAGAAACAGAAAACTCTGAAATAGAAGGAAAAAATAACTGACAGCAATGGGAGCGGGATTGCCAGGAACTTTGACAGCCCATGGTTCACCAGCAGAGAAAGAAGGGAGGCCTTGGGCAGGAATCATGATCCCCGGGAACATCAAATCGGCACCACCGATGACATATCGAGAAACCTCACACCCTTTAAGCGTGAAGGAGGGTAGCAGTTGAGGAGCCTCCCAGAGGGCAAAAACTGAAGCAGCAGCAGTAGGGGCAAAATGAAACGCTATGCTAATAATAATTATAATAACACAAAATCACACACCACGAACCTGTGGGGAAAAACTCAGTTCCTCGTCCATCCACATCGAAAAACATGGGGACGCCACCTTCAATACTAAAGACATGAACCCGATTCTGAAATTTGAAAAGAGTGATGTCGACCTAGAGAAGGAAGAGATATGAGAGGAAAGAAGGAGGAGGAAAAGCCAAAAGAAGAGAACAAAAGGGAATGGAAACCTTGGGAGGAAGAAGCAGGTCGAGGAGGGCATCGGTGATGAGGGGAAACCTGTCGCGGACGGTGCGACGGAGTTTCTTGCGATCGGCGCCTGAAAGACGCTGCTGAGACTTTGCCTCCACCGCCTTCTTGAACATTCTTTCTCTCTCACACAGCTCAAACCCTCCCACGCGCCTGGTTCTCCTTTTTTTCTTTTTGTTGGGGGGGGGGGGGGGGGGGTCTCAGTTTTTGGGATTGGGGATCGTCTGTAAGACGCCATGCCTCTTCCATGGAAGAAAGCGAAGTCTGGTCGGATCTCGCGGTTTGTAGCGGACCTCCAGCAATCGCCCAAACACGGCGGATCTCTGGGCGTGGAGACAGGTTTCCCGACATCACTCATCGATCTGTTCGTGAAGAACCGCGATCGCCTCAAGAAACCCCCCTCGAACCGC